AACCACATGCAAACCAGAATTATTCAAAATAGCAGTCCCAAATTGTGAGCCATGCTACTTCATTATATTTCCCAAACCCCAAAGCGTTTCTAAAGCACTAGAGCTACGCTTTTGAGACACTTGGAGGAGTCTTTTAAATTTTTTTATGATGATGTGACATAAAGAATATAGTAGTAATAATAATAATTAAATATCACTCCCCCAGGTTCCAGCTAGCAGAAAATATTTTTTGGGCCTATAAAAAATTAACAGTGTTTTCGGGGGCGTTTAAAAGGGAAAATAAAATTTTTGGGGAAGAGCTTTAGTAATTTTAAGTTTTTAGTGGGTTTCAGAAAATGAGGCTCATCTGATACCAAGATGCAGAAACCAAAAAAATTTAAAGACCTTGTTGGACTTAGGTTTATATTGGAAGTGGGGTGTTTTTCTTCTTAGGGGGGAGGAATTTGTAAAATATTTAAAGGAGAATTCAGTTTTTTAATAAGTGCTGGATTGCACATATTCATCTTGAATCTTTTCTTTTTAAATAAAATTAAGTCGTTTAAATGGAAATGGCCCCAGAAGAGGATACAAATCCTGTTGGACACCATAAAAAGGCCATCTTCAGCTCCACCAACATTTTTCAAAACTGGGCAATTCCAGGCCTTCAGCTAGGATATAAAAACCCAGAAGATCACTATAATTTTTGAAAAATTGCCTGATGTAGAGGGTTCAAACCCTGACTGTCTTACCAGTGCTCTGGAGAATGAGGATCAGAAGGCTTTTCCTTTCCTCCACAATTAAAAATTCTAGAGCAAGTTCCCTCTGAAAATGGAGTTGTGTAACATTTCCAAACAGGAATTCCCTGATAAAATGTTTGTAGAGCCAGCAGTGAAGGGAAAGTCCTACACTCGGGTCGATGCTACAGTCGCTTCCGGTCCGGAGTCTTCGGGAAAAATTAGGCGTGGGATGGCGTTTTTAAAATGAATTACAACATATCTTCCAATGGAATTGTAATATTGAAGGAGTGGACGTTGCAGAATTCCCGTTTTTTCTGTAGAGTGTAAAGAAGAGAACCCCATCATGTAAAAAAATATTACTAAATGGTGTATTGTTTAGATAATGGATCAAACAAAACGGACTAAATTAAATTTTTTACTTGCCAAGTCCAACCTGCTAAACCTTCTGAAATTTTTGCAAAACAAATGGTTTGGGAAAGTTTGTTTGTTCCATCTAAAACTCCTCACCTATGGTGTGTTTAGTATTCAGGAGCATTAAAATGTTCCTAAGTCAAAATACTGTGAAAACAGACAGCACAAATTTAAACTTCATGTTAAAGGCTGTTTCCCGTTTAAAAAGCAGAGCTAAACGGCATGTGAGAACATGTCAATTCTTTCACCTGAAAGTACTTCAAAGTTTCATAAATATATTGGGGGGGGGGATGTGTGAGATAGCAGGTGCGTGTAAGGCAAAGTGATTTGTTTAATGACTAATGAGGTTTTGAAAACAGTTTTCTTCAAAAGGTATTTTTTTTTTGTCTGTTATCCTTTTAATTGTAATACCTGTAGCAGCACCATTCTCAAGAAATAGTTTTCCCTGGCCTACAGCCACCTAAAAGGTTGTCAGAAAAAACAAGGTAAATTGAGTACATCTATGAAAAAAAGATTTCATAAAGTTTATATTGTTTTACCCATCTACTAGTACTATTTAATAGAAAGTTTACAGGACAGCAAATTCCACACTGTCCGTGTAGGGTTGCAGACATCAGCACTGAACATGTGTTATTCTGATAATTAGAATTTTGTTTCTTCATAGGATAAAATTTACTTTTTTTTACAATTGGATTTCTTTTCCAGTGTAAAATTTCCCATTTTGTGGAGAGAAGGGGAAAAGAATAGGATTTTTTTAAGTTTGGGAAGCAGGAGTGGTTTTGGCTACTGATGCGATGCAACAGGGCAGAGGGAGACAAATGTGTTGGGGGTGGGTTTTAATGTACTACTTGCAAGCTCAAAGAAGAAAAATTTTCTGGGGATGCTGAATGTGTAAGAGTTGGTTTTAAGGGGCTGCCTTACAGAGTCCCTTTAAAGGGACAGTTTCCAAAGTGTAAGGGAGTTTAGAAACATACAGAGTTTACCAGAGCCACCAAATCTTTTACTTCAAGGGATTTTTTCTCCCCCACATTTATCTTTTAGGTGAACTTTTTCAAGTGAAAAATGTGTTTTTTTTTTGTGCAGTGTCCCTCCCCCGAAGGGCATCATTTCGGAAACCGAGTGACGGGGAAAAGTGTTTGTCTATGAACAATCCAGGGGCCCCTTTACCCAATTAAATCCTTTTACTTATCAGACTTGAAACCACTGAAACCATTGTCCGAAAACGAAATAAACAAATGCGATAACGTACATCCCAGTATCAACGGTCAGAGAAGGTCAGGAAAAAATCCCTGGAACGAAGATGAATACCTTGGGGATTGTGAGTCTGAAGAAAATAGAGCAAAAAAACAAACCAGGAACCAAAAAAACCCGACTCATTGCAAAAAGGGGATCCTTCGATATGAAAAGGGGCTCCCGGGTAAAGGGAAATTTTGGCAAAATTCCTCTGTGAAGTCTACATTGAAGTAGTCCTAAAAAATTGATGTCTAGGTGTTACAGATAAATGCCAAGATACAAAAGGGCATTTCTAATAAAAGTAGAGGATAAATCACTTAGAGACAATGGGAAAAAGGCAGGCATGGGAAACATTCAGAAAAGAGTTAGGAAAAGAATGGCGGATTATGCTGGAATTCCTGCTTACTTGTAATCCTTCTCTTGATATTTTTCTTTGGACTTCATTTTCTTCTTGACCTCCTTATCTTTTTTCATTCTTTGGTCATCTATCTTGTGGCGTTTCTTTTCCACTTCAGCTTCGCTTCCTTCTGCGTCGCCATATTTCCTCTTGCCAAGCCTCAGTTTCTCATTTTCCCAGAAAGAGATGTCAAATTGTGCATGAGCTGAGGCAGGTGGAGGTGCGTGCCCTTCCCGAGAGTGTTTTTCCGACTGCTGCAGAGGTACTGAACAGTGACGGAAGTTCCCTCTGTGGCTACTCAAGTGATGGGCTCCTTCCTCTCTGGAGTGAGTGTTGTGAGCCCATCTGCTCTTGCAGTGATAATCCCCATGTGATTTGTAGAATCGACTCAATTTGTCAAAGGCTTTATCAAAATGAGAGGACTTCCTCTCTCTACCATCTCCTGTTCCATGAACAGAGTAATAATCCTTGTAATATCTGCATTCTTCCCATCTCCGTAATTCATCTTGGTAGTATCTTTCCCTGTTCCAAGTCCTCTCTCCTTTGGAATGGTAATACCCATTCCTGTCTTGTTCCGTTCTTTCTCTGCTTCGGGATTTATAACGAGAGTATTTTCCTGAGCTTTTGCCATTATTTGCACTGTTTCTTTCATGATGGCAAGGTCTGTACTTGCCTTCGTTGCAATAATCCTGCTTATGATGATATTGCTTATTTGTTTCCATGCTGCAAGAGCGCCTCCTTTTGTAGGAACGATCATCCGCTTTGCTCCTGCTTTGCTTCTGGTCTTTACTGTCAGAGTATTGTCTCTTCTTTCGGTAGTGCCCTTTGTCAGTTTTTTTGGAGTCCTGTACCTTCTCCTCGTATTTTTGCCTGTTATCCTCTTCGCATTTTTTATTATTCAGCCCCTCATTTTGTCTAGAGAATTGACTCTCCAGAACTTTATCCAGCTTTGTAATAGAAGAGTCATTAACAGGTGGTACCTCTACATCGTTATTAGAAATGTCCTTTGTATCTTGGCATTTATCTGTAACACCTAGACATGCAAGTTTTTTAGGACTACATTCAATGTCAGACTTCACAGAGGAAGTTTGCCATAATTTCTCTTCACTCTCGGGAGACCCTTTCATATACGAAGGATCTCCTTTTGCAATGAGTACAGGTTCTTTTGGCCTTCCTGGTTTGTCTTTGTCTCTACTTTCTTCAGACTCACAATGCCCAAGGTATTCATCTTCAGTATCCAGGGATATTTTCCTGACCTTCTGCTGACCGTTGATACTGGGATGTACGTTATCAGCATTTGTTATCACACTTTCAGCAACGTCTTCGGTAGCAATGGTTTCAGTGGTTTCAGAGTCTGATACAGTAAAAGGACTCTCAATCTCACAGCCAAGGTCGGAAAGAGGCATCCTGGATTGTTCATAGACAAACACTGTTTCCGTCACTACGGTTTCCGTAAGATGATCACCCTCAGACTTCTGAGGTGCAGGGACACTGCACAAAACAAAAACACATTTTTCACTTGAAAAAGTTCACCTAAAAGATAAATGTGAGGAGCAAAAATCCCTTGAAGTAAAAGATTTGGTGGCTACTGGTAAACTCTGTATGTTTCTAAACTCCCTTACACAGTTTGGAAACTGTAGCGTTCTAAAGGGACTCTGTAAGGCAGTCCCTTTAGAAACCGACTCTTACACATTCAGCAGTGCCCAGAGAAGATGTTTTTCTTCTCTTGAGCTTGCAAGTAGTACATTAAAACCCACACCCAACACATTTGTCTCCCTCTGCTCACTGCTCTGCATCGCATCAGTAGCCAAAACCAGTACCTTCGCTCTCCCCAAACTTGAAAAAAGTCAACTCATTCATTTCCCTTCTCTCCACAAAATGGGAGGGCACGAGGTGGGAATTTACACTGGAAAAGAAATCCAATTGTAAAAAAAAGTAAAATTATCCTATGAAGAAACAGAACCATTCTGGGAGGCATCTGCTTTAATTAATATCAGAATAACACATGTTCAGTGCTGATGTCTGCAACCCTACACGGACAGTGTGGAATTTGCTGTACTGTGTAAAGCTTTCTATTAAATAGTACTAGTAGATGGGTAAAACAATGATAAACTTGTATGAAATCTTGTTTTCATCAGAGTGTACTCAATTTACCTTGTTTTCTCTGACAACCTGTTCAGGTGGCTGTAGGCCAGGGATTCTAAGACTATTTCTTGAGGAATCGGTGACTCAGCTACAGGTATCTACAATTAAAACGCAGACGTTAACAGACAAAAAAAATACTACCTTTAGAAGAAAACTGTTTTCAAAATTTCCTCATTAGTCATTAAACAAGATCACTTTGCCTTACACGCACCATTGCTATCTCACACATCACCCCTTCCCCCCCCCAATATATTTATGAAACTTATGAAGTACTATCTCAGGTGAAATTTTCTGAAGTTGACATGTTCTCACATGCCAGTTCAGCTCTGCAAATTCTAATGCGGCGACAACAGCACAAAGTGTTAACGATGAAGTTTAAATTTGTGCTGTCTGTTTTCACAGTATTTCACATGACTTAGGAACATTTTAATGCTCCTGAATACTAAACACACCATAGGTGAGGAGTTCTAGATGGAACAAACAACTCACTGGTTCAAGCAATCCATTTGTTTTAGCAAAGAATATCTCAGAAGGTTTAGCAGGTTGGACTTGGCAAGTAAAATCATCAAGTTTCAGTCCGTTTTGTTTAGATCCATTATCTAAACTAATAGCACCATTTAGTGAATCATTTTTTGGCAGCACATGATGGGATCTCTCTTCTTCAGCACTCTCACAGAAAGCATGGGAATTCTGCAACGTGCCGACTACCTTCCCTATTACAATTCCGTTGGAAGATATGTTGCAATTCATTTTAAACACGCCATTCGACGCCTCAGATTTTCCTGAAGACTCTGGACCGGAAGCGACTGTAGCATCAGACCCGAGTGTAGGACTTCCATTCACTGCTGGCTCTACAAACATTTCATCAGGAACTTCCTGTTTGGAAATGTTAGCCAACTGCCACTGTAGATGCATTTGAGGTAGACTCTGCTCTGAGAGAATTTGTAATTGTGGAGGAAGGAACAGCCTTGCTGAGATCCTCATTCTCCAGAGCACTGGTAAGACAGTCAGGTTGTGACACAGTCTGACACTCAGGCAATTTGTTATGAATACTGATAGTGATCTTCTGGGCTTTTGATGGATCCGTAGTTGAAGGCCTGGTAATTGCCCAGTTTTGAATGCAAGCTGTTGGTGGAGCTGAAGATGGCCTTTTTATGGTGATACCAACAGGATTTGTATCCTCTTTTAGGGGTCCATTTCCATTTAAACGTTGAATTCTGTATTTAAAAAGAAAAGATTGCAAGATGAATATGTGCAATCACACCACACGTATTAAAACACTGAATTCTCCTACTAAATATTTCTACAAATTGCCTCACCACCTAGAAGAAACACCCCACTTCCAATATAAACCTAAGTCCAACAAGTGTGTTTAATTCCTGCTGCTTTTGGTTTACTGCATCTTGGTATCAGATGAGCCTCATTTTCTGAAACCCACTCAAACAACTTAACATTGACTAAAGCTCTTCCCAAATATGTTTATTTTCCCCTTTAAACGTTCCCTGAAAACACTGCTATAATTGCTCTGGTACTCAGGACCAAGAAAATCGTTTTCACTGTCTCAGCTGAAGTAACACTGGGGGACTGCCTGAATTCATTTTTTGTCATCACATCTCCATTAGACTCCTCCAAGTGTCTCATCTCTTGCTCTTAGAAAGCGCTTTGATCCAGAAGTAGCATGGCTGCACAATTTGGGACTAGCTACTGTTTGAATAATTCTGGCTGTTGCATGATGGTTGTGAAGAAAGCTGCAGTTGGGAAAACAATTCCATCAGGAAAAGAAAAATTATCAATTATTTGCTCCCTGCAAATTACCTTAAACATATGAAGAGGAAGTTGTGGTCCTGTAAATCCAGCCTGCTTACTGTTAGGCCCATGCTGACCAAGGAATGAACTTAAAAGCGTTCTCCAACTGTCAGGATCGTGGCTCAGTGATATCACTTTAGAGTTTTTCTTTCAACATTTCACATTAAAACCCCATCCTAATTTTATAAGAACAGATGATGTGACACAGAAGTAATAAAAAGACTGAAGTACCACACTGACAATGGTCTGCACAATGACTATTCTTGTCAGAGCAACATCTCACCCTTACGAGGACTAATTACTTTTCTAGCATAACTCAATGTACACAAGCTGTTTAAGCAATGAAAGATGGTAAGTTCTCTAGACAGAAAGCTACTCAGTAAACTTTTCCTAGACAGAAGAAAACACTAAAAAGAAAAGTATCAGTAACAGGAAAGTAAATATATTCTGATTCAAGTTGGTATTCCTGATATAAAAAAGTAAATAAGCTTGCTCTGTTTTGATATCAGAACGCTCCACTATGGCATCATTCATTCGAAAAAATCTTGGTGCAAACAAAAGACAGTGGCATCCTAGCAAAATGCATGATGTCCAAATGACATCACAGGCGGACTAATTGCCCAGTTTTGAACACATATGCAATGTTAAAATGGTGGACTAACATTGATTTTCTTTGTTTATTTTACCCTGGTAGAAATCACCATACCCACCTTTATGAAGCATCCTGCAATTGCTTGAAACAGAATGAAACAAGAAATTCCAAATACATATATGCTTGAAGAGTATTCCACATCCTAAACGAAAACAGGAAGATTCAAAAATTACCCCGAAACAGCCTGACAAAAACCCTTCTCAAAACACAGGCTGGCACATAGTCTTGATTCATTTAAAAATACCTATTCTCCAATATTTCTAATTGAAGTCTGTTTTCTGCAATTCTCACTATTAGGCCCGACTTTTCTTAGACTATTGTTATTACACTTACAGCCTGAAGGAAAAATGATTCTTAAAAAGTAAGGACTTCCAAACCATGCTATAAAAAGTCAATGGAGCATTCACAACTTGTTTAACCCATTCCTGCTGCTTTTGTACCAGCCTCAAAGAATACTGCAGTTTTAAAATATCAGGTTAATGAAGCTTAGATTTATGAAGAAATTCTTTACTGTTAGGCAAATGGGTTGCCCATTGAAAAGTCTCTCCAAGGTCAGGTTGGGCAAGCTGTGGAGGAGTCGATGTGTTCCTTTCCCTAACAACACTACAGTTTAACAGCTGTGGTACCCATCACAAGAAAAGTCAATTAACAACTATGTTTTTCCCTCACTGGGCTCAGAAATATTTAAATTATGAAATATTGTTTCTGAGAATAGGTATTTTTAAATGAATCAAGACTATATTTGTACTCTACCTGTGTTTTGAGAAGGGTTTCAGGCTGTTCCATGAAGAGTTTACAAAGGGTAATTTTTGAATCCTCCTGTTTTGCGTTTAGGATTTGGAATACATATTTGGTTTCTATACTGTCCCAAAGGGGAGAACCACTCATGTATTCTTTATATGCAGTTCTTGTTCATTCTGGTTTCAGCTCAATGCAGGACTATTCTGCTTCATAAAGGTGGGTATCAGCTTGATTTCTAACAGGGTAAAATAAACCAAGAAAATAAATGTTACTGGCAACCACCATTTTGATGGAGAAAGGTTGAATGATGTGTTCTTTGATTTGCTTGGTAGTTAATGTGGTGTCATTTGGACATCATGCATTTTGTGAAGATGCCACTGTCTTTTGTTTGCAGGCCGGCAATGGATTTTGGTATCTGAATGATGCCATATGGAAAAAGCGTTTGGATGTGAATACTGATATCAGCAAGCTTATTTACTTTTTTATATCAGGTAATACCAACAGAGATCTGTTCATGAATATATTTACTTTCCAAGTTACTTTTCTTTTTTTCTTTCCTGTTTTTCTTTCTGTCCTAGGAAAAGTTTACTGTTTCTGTAATTCACTTCTGTGTAACCTGAAAGCAGAGACATTTAAAATATTGCTTGGCCTTAAACTGGTGTGCTTGTGTATTTCTGTATCCGCTCAGTATTCTAACACTTGGCGTAAGGGTGAGATGTTGCTGACAAGAATAGTCATTGTAGGGAGACCATTGTCTGTTTTTTTAGTGTGTAGCCACTTTTGTATATGGCTTCTGTGTCACATCATCTGTTCTTATAAAATTATAGATGGGGTTTTAATCCAAGAATAGATTGAAAGAAAAACTCTAAAGTGATATCACTGTTTTTTTTCCAAGGCGCTACGATCTGACACTTGGAGAACGTGGTTTTTACTTACCAGCAACTTCTTATCCCCGTTCATTCCTTGGTCAGCGGGGGCCTAATAGTAAGCAGGCTGGATTTATGGGACCACGGCTTCCTCCTCACATGATTAAGGTAATTTGCCGGGAGCAAATAATGGCACCAAATTGATAATGTTGTTTTCTTTTGATGTGGGTGGTTTGTTGTTTTAGACCTGATGAAGTTTTACACTGCAGCTTTCTTCATCATGCAACAGCCAGAATTATTCAAACAGTAGCTAGTCCCAAATTGTGCAGCCATGCTACTTCATTATACTTCCAACTCAAAGCGCTTTCTAAAGCACTGAGAGCTACGCTTTTGAGACAAGGAGTCTATCACTCTTTTTAGTAATAATAATAATTAAATATCAGTGTTACTTCAGCTGAGACAGTGAAAACGATTTTCTTGGTCCTGAGTACCAGAGCAATTATAGCAGTGTTTTCAGGGAACGTTTAAAGGGGAAAATAAACATATTTGGGAAGAGCTTTAGTCAATGTTAAGTTGTTTGAGTGGGTTTCAGAAAATGAGGCTCATCTGATACCAAGATGCAGTAAACCAAAAGCAGCAGGAATTAAACACACTTGTTGGACTTAGGTTTATATTGGAAGTGGGGTGTTTTTCTTCTTAGGTGGTGAGGCAATTTGTAGAAATATTTAGTAGGAGAATTCAGTGTTTTAATAAGTGCGGTGTGATTGCACATATTCATCTTGCAATCTTTTCTTTTTAAATACAGAATTCAAGTCGTTTAAATGGAAATGGACCCCTAGAAGAGGATACAAATCCTGTTGGTATCACCATAAAAAGGCCATCTTCAGCTCCACCAACAGCTTGCATTCAAAACTGGGCAATTACCAGGCCTTCAGCTACGGATCCATCTAAAGCCCAGAAGATCACTATCAGTATTCGTAACAAATTGCCTGAGTGTCAGACTGTGTCACAACCTGACTGTCTTACCAGTGCTCTGGAGAATGAGGATCTCAGCAAGGCTGTTCCTTCCTCCACAATTACAAATTCTCTCAGAGCAGAGTCTACCTCAAATGCATCTACAGTGGCAGTTGCTGCTAACATTTCCAAACAGGAAGTTCCTGATGAAATGTTTGTAGAGCCAGCAGTGAATGGAAGTCCTACACTCGGGTCTGATGCTACAGTCGCTTCCGGTCCAGAGTCTTCAGGAAAATCTGAGGCGTCGAATGGCGTGTTTAAAATGAATTACAACATATCTTCCAATGGAATTGTAATATTGAAGGTAGTCGGCACGTTGCAGAATTCCCGTTCTTTCTGTGAGAGTGCTGAAGAAGAGAGATCCCATCATGTGCTGCCAAAAAATGATTCACTAAATGGTGCTATTAGTTTAGATAATGGATCTAAACAAAACGGACTGAAACTTGATGATTTTACTTGCCAAGTCCAACCTGCTAAACCTTCTGAGATATTCTTTGCTAAAACAAATGGATTGCTTGAACCAGTGAGTTGTTTGTTCCATCTAGAACTCCTCACCTATGGTGTGTTTAGTATTCAGGAGCATTAAAATGTTCCTAAGTCATGTGAAATACTGTGAAAACAGACAGCACAAATTTAAACTTCATCGTTAACACTTTGTGCTGTTGTCGCATTAGAATTTGCAGAGCTGAACTGGCATGTGAGAACATGTCAACTGCAGAAAATTTCACCTGAGATAGTACTTCATAAGTTTCATAAATATATTGGGGGGGGAAGGGGTGATGTGTGAGATAGCAATGGTGCGTGTAAGGCAAAGTGATCTTGTTTAATGACTAATGAGGAAATTTTGAAAACAGTTTTCTTCTAAAGGTAGTATTTTTTTTGTCTGTTAACGTCTGCGTTTTAATTGTAGATACCTGTAGCTGAGTCACCGATTCCTCAAGAAATAGTCTTAGAATCCCTGGCCTACAGCCACCTGAACAGGTTGTCAGAGAAAACAAGGTAAATTGAGTACACTCTGATGAAAACAAGATTTCATACAAGTTTATCATTGTTTTACCCATCTACTAGTACTATTTAATAGAAAGCTTTACACAGTACAGCAAATTCCACACTGTCCGTGTAGGGTTGCAGACATCAGCACTGAACATGTGTTATTCTGATATTAATTAAAGCAGATGCCTCCCAGAATGGTTCTGTTTCTTCATAGGATAATTTTACTTTTTTTTACAATTGGATTTCTTTTCCAGTGTAAATTCCCACCTCGTGCCCTCCCATTTTGTGGAGAGAAGGGAAATGAATGAGTTGACTTTTTTCAAGTTTGGGGAGAGCGAAGGTAGTGGTTTTGGCTACTGATGCGATGCAGAGCAGTGAGCAGAGGGAGACAAATGTGTTGGGTGTGGGTTTTAATGTACTACTTGCAAGCTCAAGAGAAGAAAAACATCTTCTCTGGGCACTGCTGAATGTGTAAGAGTCGGTTTCTAAAGGGACTGCCTTACAGAGTCCCTTTAGAACGCTACAGTTTCCAAACTGTGTAAGGGAGTTTAGAAACATACAGAGTTTACCAGTAGCCACCAAATCTTTTACTTCAAGGGATTTTTGCTCCTCACATTTATCTTTTAGGTGAACTTTTTCAAGTGAAAAATGTGTTTTTGTTTTGTGCAGTGTCCCTGCACCTCAGAAGTCTGAGGGTGATCATCTTACGGAAACCGTAGTGACGGAAACAGTGTTTGTCTATGAACAATCCAGGATGCCTCTTTCCGACCTTGGCTGTGAGATTGAGAGTCCTTTTACTGTATCAGACTCTGAAACCACTGAAACCATTGCTACCGAAGACGTTGCTGAAAGTGTGATAACAAATGCTGATAACGTACATCCCAGTATCAACGGTCAGCACAAGGTCAGGAAAATATCCTTGGATACTGAAGATGAATACCTTGGGCATTGTGAGTCTGAAGAAAGTAGAGACAAAGACAAACCAGGAAGACCAAAAGAACCTGTACTCATTGCAAAAGGAGATCCTTCGTATATGAAAGGGTCTCCCGAGAGTGAAGAGAAATTATGGCAAACTTCCTCTGTGAAGTCTGACATTGAATGTAGTCCTAAAAAACTTGCATGTCTAGGTGTTACAGATAAATGCCAAGATACAAAGGACATTTCTAATAACTATGTAGAGGTACCACCTGTTAATGACTCTTCTATTACAAAGCTGGATAAAGTTCTGGAGAGTCAATTCCCCAGACAAAATGAGGGGCTGAATAATAAAAAATGCGAAGAGGATAACAGGCAAAAATACGAGGAGAAGGTACAGGACTCCAAAAAAACTGACAAAGGGCACTACCGAAAGAAGAGACAATACTCTGACAGTAAAGACCAGAAGCAAAGCAGGAGCAAAGCGGATGATCGTTCCTACAAAAGGAGGCGCTCTTGCAGCATGGAAACAAATAAGCAATATCATCATAAGCAGG